CATAACATAGCATGCGTGCTATTTACCGGATCAAACAAGCGGCCCGGAAGTTTGCCCTGTCATCCGTGACGCGGCTCGCATGCGATCGGTGGAGTGCGCGCTCGTCCTCGACATGCAAATGCATTTAGCATCAAAAAAAAAAAAAGAAAGAAAGAAAGAATAAGAGCCGATGCTGCCGAAATGACAAGATGGAGGATCGCATGGAAGAGGACCGGTCCACTGCAGGGGACGCTTTTTGACAAAAGTGCAGCACTTGCCGTACAAGCCTGAGGATCTTTGCCGAATATTTTATTTTTTTTCCCCTCTCTCTCAAGATAATGGCTGTCTCGCTCGTATATGTTTAATGAATCCCACTGCATTGGCCTCATCTCAACGACTGCCTTCAATTAGCATGACAACAGGGAGCTCGCGTCATAAAACTCATCCTGATCTATCTTTCTTTCGAGGTGATGCCTCGCTCGCATTTTAGCTCCCGTTTCACTTCCTGTTTACCGATAATTAGCTGCTAATTCCGATGCTCATTTCATGCAGATGGAGAGCGCGGATATGCGCATAAGTCTGACGAGTGTCGGCGTTTGGAATTGGGGCTGCCCAAGGGGGGAGGGCGATAAACACATCAAATTAAATCAAAACAGCTGACGGCGGCGGCAAAATGAAGAAGTGGCTGAGGCACGACTGTCCCTAGATCCACCTTTTATTTGATTTATTTTTAAAAATTTTTTACAAGAATATATATATATATATATATATATTTGTATATGTACATATGTATGTGCATATGATATATATCCTTGTCCTTCAGACTTATATACTTCTATACTTGTATATGTAGGCAGCACAGTGGTCGAGTGGTTAGCATGTCGGCCTCACAGTGCAGAGGTGCAGGGTTCAATTGTGGCTCCAGCCTTCCTGTGTGTTCTCCCCACGCCTGCGTGGGTTTTCTCCGGGTACTCCGGTTTCCTCCCACATTCCAAAAACACGCATGGCAGGTGAATGGAACACTCAAAATTGTTTTTGGGGGCGTAGCGCAAGCGATGGGCAAACTTAAGCACGCAAAACTAGCAATGTCTTGATAATGATGCACAAAGAAAGTTTTTTTTTTTTTTTTTTTTTTTTTTTAAAGGGCACTGAAGAATTGTTTTTTTTTTTATTTTTGGAGGGCACCCGATTTGGAATGCATGACCAAATGAAAGCGCCCGAGTGGCTGCAAATCAAATAATGACATTTTGGACTGATACGTTGCAGCCAGCGCATTATCCGGTCGAAGTTAAGGCGAAGGCCGCTGAACCAAATAACGCGCTCGTGCGCGGCGCCGGGGAAAACAAAGCCCGAGGTTGGGCTTATGCTGAGCAATCATGTCGTCTGATTTCTTGCCGCTCCAGCTGTTGCCGTTGCCGCTAATGCCGTCTTCCAGCGTTTTTGACCAAGCGTCATCCTTCTCGCCAAGTTTGGCTGGCCGCTAATTCGCCGCCGGGAGGCAAATGTGTACTCTTAGGCCAAACGCATTTGAATGATCGCTAACGCGCCGCAGCAGAGCATCCGGCCGAGGAAATTCACTGCATAGACCACTTGAGACGCAATCCTAGCTGGCGTCCCGGTTTCAATCAAAAAAAAAAAAAAAGGAGTTCTGGTCTCCCAATACGTTTGGGCTCTCAGAGTTGAGACGGGTTTCAAAGAAGAGTTTTCAATTCACACTCAGAGTTTTTAATTTGGGTTTCAAGATAAACGTAGCGTGTCAAAGTCGAGGTTAAGTACCAATCTGGGTGTCAAAATTGATTTTCAAGGCAGGATCACTTTTTTTGTTTTAGCCCCCAAAATGACACATTGTGCGGGGGCTTCGGTTTTCAAAAGTGGTTTAGGTTTGCGTAAAAAACGGTTCCAAAGCGGACGCTGGCAGTCCAAGGCATATTTTACGCTCTTGGTTTGGGTTTCAAAGTCGATTTTTCAGACAGGACGAGGGTTTCCAAGACAGACGTACGGTACGGTACCAATGTTGGATTTTAAAACGCTGTTGGTTACGGTCCCAAGATTGTGAAGATATTGTGCTCGACTTTGGGTTTCAAAGTCAGGTCGCATGTTTCAAGCAAATGAGGGCTTCGGGCCAAGGCGTATTTGTCAAAGTCAAGGCAGGGTTAGGGTTTGGAAAGGAGGCATCAACACAAGGTTTGGAGGTTTCAAGTTCGGCTTTGAGGACAGGCTTTTGGTTTCCACTTTTTGAAAGGAGGCTTGGCAAGTTCTCTTTCCATAAGCCAGGACCATCACTGGAGGGAAAAAGCGAGCGCCGGGGTGAGGCTGACACGAACTGTCAGGGACGCGAACGTCGCCGTGTGTGATTTAGCGCCGTACGCTAAGTGGCGCGAAGGCCACGGGGCTCGTCTGCTGCCGGGCATCCGTCAGGACCGGCTGCTTTACTCGCTCGCTGGCCTGATTTGGCCGGCCGGACAAACGTACGCATTGCCGCCCGGAAAGACAGACTGCGACGAAAGAGCCAGACCAAGAAGCTGATGTCTGAAGAAAGTTAGCGGTGAGGGGAAAGGGGCGGGGGGGTGATCGTAAGTCCACAATTTCCCCTCCAGGTTTTCTTGTCGGGCTCGGCCGGATGGCGGCGGTGTTGGAAATTGGCCGAGATGGAACACGGCGCTCTCGCGGTGCTTTCATTAGCCCTTGTTGCGCCGTCGGGCCTTTTCGCAGCGCCTTTATTACTCGCCGCATCTGCTTTTGGGGCCAAGAGGAAACCGCGTCAGAGGGTGCGCAACAAACAGGAAAGAGGAAGGGGGCAGGGGGCTGAGGTTCGGAGGGACCCTCTCGCGATGTGCGGATGTCGATGCCCACACCAAATGCTGTCAACATGTTCTCCACAACTGGAACGCAATCAACCCAAAAAGTTGGGCGTTACAATTGGGGGTTCAGAATGGGCTTTGACTTTCAAATTAAGGTTTGCATCTTTGAAAATTTTAAATCAGGGTTTCAATCTTAGGTTAGGGTTTAAAATGAAGGTTTCAAGCCTAGGTTAGCATTAGGGTTTGAATGTCGCGTTTCAAGACGAGATTTCAAACAGGTTGTCGGGTTTGAAATTGAGGATTCAGTCACAAATTAGGGTTTCAAGCCCAGTTTGGTCTTTCCAATTAAGGATTCAAACAAAGGTTAAGATTTCAAGCCTGCGTGATGGTTTCAAACAGTGTCAAATTGTAGTTTCAAGCCTTGACGAGGGTTTGCAACTTTAGAGTTTCAACCCAGGGCGAAGATTTCAAAATAGGGTTCGTGTCTCAAGCCAAGGGTAGGGTTGGGGTTACAAATTGGGTTACATCCGCGTGAGGGTGTCAGTGTTGTTGTTTTTTCACTCAGTGTTATTGAGTCAGAGCTGCCGTGTCATTATCTTGGCAAAGGTGTCATTTACCGCAAAGTTGCCCATGAAGAGGCGGCGTCGGCGGAGCGCTCTTTGTCTTCCCGACCTCACAACTGTCGTGAGTCACAGCCACTTCCGTTTCAGGGGTCATCTTCTCATCTTGTTCATACAAACAGATCCAAAGTCAATTACAAACTGACGTTTGCAACGGGTCGACGACATCACCACGCGCTGGATTTCCTCCCCGCTGATGCTCCTCCGGGCCTCGACTGCAACTGTCTTCGTTTGCTGCTTGTTGTTGCTTGGGCCGCTCTTCTTTCCTTTCTTGTCTTCAGCAAGTAAAATTCTCGCTCAGCTGGATTCAGGTCAAGTGATTGATCCTACTTTTTGCCTTGAAAAACCCTTCGGTCGCTTGGCAAGTACGCCTCCGGTTATTGTCCATCGGCACTGTGAAGCGCCATCCATTGAAGCCTTTGGCTGGAAATGAGCAGAAAACAGCTGAGAATTCATACTGCTGAATTCGTCAGCCGTCATATCATCAAGAAATACAAAGAAAGCAGTTCCATTGGCGGCCCTGCATGACCGGCCACGGAACAGCGGAGCAGCCAATTGTCCCATTACTTTTGCTCCCTTCAAAAGTGTGAGACACACACGGATGAGACAGCGATTTCGCATTCACGCGATAGCAGACCGCAAAATGAATGGCAGTTACACGCTGTGGTTTTTACCGTTTTTGCAAGAAGTGTATTTCAGCGGGCCACCACCATTTACTCCGTCAATAAGGGTCGCCTTTCCTATGAATTAGGGATGTAACAATAACGGCAATATCGCTTTAACACGTGATTAAAATTGCCACAATATCACCGTTGATATGTCACTATACTAAAAGACGCACATCTGTTGAAATGGGCGGGTGATTTTTCATTTCGTGCAGTTCGAGCACCCCCGATGGTTAGTTTATTAGTGCAGTTGAATTTGAATCAGGCATGTTGTGGCCACCTACGTTCAAGGCCCACGCTAATGGGGAGATGACGAGGAACGCAACACATTTGAGTTCCTCCGCAAATTGACTTAATTCACGATGTGTGTTTGCGCGTTTGCAAGTAAGTGCCTCAAATTTACGTGTCATCGGCCGAATGCAGCATTGTGAAGGACATAGTCCATGAAACGTTATTTGTTGTTGTTGTTGTTTTTTTAATGTATTTATTTCAATGGACCAGCGTACTGTACATTAATCAACACAAGAACGTGAAAGAGTGTCAATGTGCCGGATTTAGCATAAATGCTAATTGCGCTATACTTTGCGTCGCTGAGTCAAAAGGGGCACTTGACAAATGACTGGCCAAACCTTTTTTTTTTTTAAATCACCACTGTTAAATTTTGCTCTTTTTGTTTTAAGTATGAGCCTTTTAAAAAAAAAAAATATATATATATATATATATATAAGGAGTTCCTACACAATATCACCTTTTTTTGTATCGCCAATCCTCCACAATATCGTAATAATGATCCCCTCGTGAGGTTCTATTTTGAATTCACAAAGCACTGTTTAATTTCATTTTATTTCTATTTTTTTCCCCAATTGCCTGGACAGGTCTTCAAGATCCAACGAAATGACGTATATGCACTGCCGTCGTGTTCTTTGCGTGTTCAGGGGACGATGTCGGCGGTGTTGTGGATGCTGCTCCTACTCTCGCGGTGGGTGTCTCTTGCCGCGTCCCAGAAGCCTCCTGGGCTCAGCGTGGGCGTGGTGATGGGCCAGACCCGACTGGTCCCGGACCAGGAGCTGCGTCCCCCGCGCAGCCCCGACGATGCCCTGGACGTATCGGTGGTGCCCTTAAGGATCAACCAGACCGACCCCAAGTCTGTCATCACACAGGTGAGAGGGAGCGCCCCTGGAGGTTTGGAGTTTGCATACACAGCAGAACATGAGTTGGAAACTTTTTTTTTTTTTAATCAAGAAGCAAAAGAGGAATATGGTGGTACTTTGAGACACAAGTTACCTCATGCCACAACTGTCGTACCCTAGTCCGAATGTTTTTTTTTTTTGTGTGTGTGTGTGTTGTCTCGGACTTGACTCGGACTCCTTGGCATTTGACGGGGACTTGTCTGCCTCGTAAAATATTATATAAACTTCATCCGGGAGTGCCAAATAAGCACCTTGATTTTTTTTGTGTTTCATGTTAAGGTTCACCATCATGGGCTTTTTGTTTTTGAAGGTATGCGAGCTGCTATCGCGTTCTCGCCTCCACGGCATCGTCTTTGCCGACGGCACCGACCAGGAGGCCATTGCACAGATTCTCGACTTCCTGTCCGTCCAGACGCAACTTCCTGTGCTGGGCGTGCACGGAGGCTCCTCCATGATCATGGCCGACAAGGTGAGTGAGCGACATGGCTGCTTGATGACAAATAATGTTGGCGAAGGCGATGGAACTTTGTTGACAATTGATTGTGGTGCTCGGAAAGGTTAGCGTCCTTTTGGCCATGGCTCTGTGGGACTTTTTTTGTGGGACTACTCATGAGAGACATTGCCAATCAAATTTCTCGTTGCTCAATTAAACAGGCTCCGGGTCCTTAGTTTTGTAATTCCGTTGGGGCTGTGAAACAGAATGGCCGACTTCCTGTCTAATTTTGCGCATGACTTTTCACACTTTTTTTTTTTTTTTGCGGGTTTGCTTATGTTATTTATTTATTTGTTTATTTCCCATACAATAGCAACATGAATTAAATTGCAGCCTTCTTAAGATCAGCGAGGGAACGTCGAGGGGATGTACGGCCCGGTTAGCCGAGCGAAGGTCAGCGGCATTTCAACGCCCCGTCGGGTCAATAATCGCGAGGAAAATGAATCAATTGTGCGACTCGCAGATGCCGACGTGCTATTGAACACCTCCGATCTCTTTCTCCAAACTTGTAACGAACTGGCAGAGATTAGGCGAACCACCAGACGGGCAGTAAATCACTGCGGCAGTATTGCAGGCTCCGTGGCCTTCAACCAGATGTCGATGGCGGACGGCAAGAGATAATGTTCCTTGTCACCGCGCGCTCAAACGCTAATTAGCCCCGCGCTGTTTACCTTTGACCAAAAACAAACAAAAAAAAACCCCAAAGAATTCATGGTGGTATTTTCAAGAAAACAAACGTGTCTGGTCCAGTCGTTTCTTTTGCTGTCCTCTCTTCTGTGCAACAATTTCTCTTGAATTTGCGCTACAGTGAAATAAGCCTGGCATTTGATGATTGACAGGATTAACGATTTGGGTGAATGATGTCACCGAGGATGGAGGGGGGGAAAAAAAAAGAACATTCGCATCGATTGTGAAAATATGCCCGACACTCACAGCTTAAAAAAAATGGATGAACTGGATACTCAATGCCCCACAGCAACAACAACAAAAAAAAATCCTGAAACTCGATGTACTCTGCATACCTTGGCATTTTTTAACGAACCTTGCGGCCCATGTCAAATGTCATTTTATCTTTTTTTTTGTCATGGTGTGGGCCTCTGGAAAAAGCACAATGGGCCACAAATGGCCCCTGGGCCGCAGTTTGGATACTTGCCTTTCAGCTTAAAATCTCGTCTGAACTGCTGTTGCGCTCCCCGTTTGAATCCCTCTGTTTCAACAATCGTCACTTAGCCTGTAAGACTTTCAAGGTTTCAATGCCGGCAATAATCTGGGCGCGACACGCCCGTAAATCCGCCGGGCAAAAGGCAAACAAACCCCAGCAGACTCGCTATGGCCTGAGTGAAAATTCCATAGACGGGGAAGCGTCACGCCAGAACGTTCGGTCATGCGGTGGATGGAAAAGCCAAAGGCCGGAGACGCTGACATGCGGACAGCAGGGAGGAAAAAAAAAAAAGAAGCGAACTTTCGCTTGTCAAATAATGGATGCATGTCCCGTCGCGTAAGTGCGCGTGGGCGGGTGCAAGTGTGAAACGCTTTTGGTGTTAGGACGGAAAAGTGCTGCTTAAAAAAGGAAACTTGACTGCCGGTTCAAGTCCAAGCGCCACTTGTCGTTTTCTATGACGGTACAAGCGGGATGCAACTCGCAAAGTTTGCAGCGGCGAGGTCGAGAGAAATCCGGCAAAGTTGCGACAGTCCGAAAAACGGCCACTTTTACACACGAGACCCCAAGACTTCCAGTAGTACACCATCGAATGGCAAAAACATCAGTTATTGGACTACGGGCGGGGATTTCATATGAATCCGAATGTCCAACTTTTATTTGAAAAAGCATTCTTTGGGGAGAGTTTGGATCCATAAAAGGGAACCTTTTGGAACATTTGTCTTTGTGTATTCATCTTTTTTTTCAATTTTTATTTGGAATGAAATATGAACGTGTGTAACATTTGTTCAAGTCATGAAATTTGTTGGAATGTATTTATTTTTTTATTTTTTTTTTGTCGTTCCCCCCCAACCCCCCCCTTTTTTTTTTTTTATATATACATACCCAGTATATACCTTGCGGCGTTTCTGCCTGTTTGTCATTTTGTGTCAGGCTAATTTGTGTGAAAGGGGTCGACTGTTGTCATGGAAAGAACACGGAGAAAGGCCACAGGAGACGACAAGATTAGTCGGGAATGTTGTACTTCCATTACATGCGGGGGTGGGGTGGGGTCGCTTTGGGAAATGAGGAAAACGTTGCACCGCGCTCTTCTGCCAGGGGCGGGGCTTGCGGGTCACACGGCGTGTCGCACCAGCGCGCGGCGACGTGGAAATGGAAGGTTGTGAATTAAACATGGTCGGCGTTTCTGACGTGTCGTGGGACGCTCCCCCCCCCTTTTGACCCACCAACCCCCTCGCCATCCGGCGCGTTTTCGAGTATGCTTAAGCGAAGATTGGGGGGGGGGGGGGGGGCACCACGTACGCCTGCCCCGCCTGGGTTGTCCCACATCGGGTCAGGGCCATTTGCAGTGGCTTTTAATATTTAACGCCTGCTCCGTAGAAGAAGCGACGGCGTACCTCGCGGATCTGCGCGCTCGCTCTCGAGGTTTACTGACTCTTGCTTTTGGTCCCCCCCGGTGCACATTGCGGGGGACGGCTCGGTGTGTTTTCCGGAGTGACGCAAATGCTTTTTTGTTTTCACCGGGCTCTACGATTCTCTTCTGCGGCCGCGCACATGTGGCGTCTTCAATCTTAAAAAATCAAAAACTCTTCAGCCGTAGATTTTGTGAGCTGATGCCAAAATCGGCGCTTGGTGTCTGTAACCATCGGTGCGGATTGGCGGGTTTGACGAGTCAATTCATCGGCGAGTATGTTCAATATCTACGGTGCGTAAAGTAGTCGACAATGGAACATAACATCGTTCGAAAACAATAAAATAAGGAGCGTCTCATCAAAATTCATCCAATCGATAACTTTACGACAGTCAAATTAATCGACACCCAGCAATCGAATCATCGTTTATGGCCTTAAGATTGTCCAAATCCTCTGATTTCCGCCTCTCCTATTGAATTAAAACGAGACATTTGCAAACATCTGCTTTTACTTTTGGGAAACAATGACTGGGCCACCAATTGAATCAACTTCACGTAAGCGTCACGTGAATCTCTCTCATGTCACATTGCCTAATTCTTGTTAGAATCTTTTTTTTTTTTTTATGACTTAAAATAGACAACAGAATTAGCAACAATGGGTTAAAAAACAGTAATCGGCCCCAAAAAGGTTTTTGCAATACACACAGAAAAAAAATGTTATTCGATTAATCGATGAAATTCCTTCATTCATTTTCCGAACCGCTTTATCCTCACAAGGGTTGCGGGGACATTTTGGAGTGTTCAATCAGCCTGCCATGCATGTTTTTGGAATGTGGGAGGAAACCGGACTAGCCGGAGAAAACCCACGCAGGCACGGGGAGAACATGCAAACTCCACACAGGAAGGCCAGAGCTGGAATTGAACCCACAACGTCTGCACTGTGATGCCAACGTGCTAACCACTCGATACCTGGCCGCCTTAATCGATGAAATCACGGATAGAATAATCGATTCTCAAAGCGTTCGTTGTAGACAGCCCTGATGTTGTGTTGAAACCTGAGGAATAAAAATGTGTGTGTTGGTGGTCCAAGTTTTGGGTGACATGAGCGCTGATGCTCCAGTGACTCAACAAGCTCACCTGAGCACAAGTGACCACGGGCGGACGTGCGCAAATGTCAATGTCAAGCACGCAGGCGGATGCTGACGCTTCGGAAGAAATAAAAACAAACAAAAAAATCATCTATTTGCCAGAGAAGCTCTCCTTTTCTCTCCATTTGTTGCTTTTTTATTAGCACGGAAGACTTTTCTTTTTCAAAAGCGACGGCCACGTCAGCATTCTTTCAGGAAAAAGCCGAATCTTATCACGAAGGCAAATAAAAAAAATATAATTTACAAAAAGAAAGGATTGAACTGGAGGTGAGATGTCACATTTTGTTTTCAGCTTACAATTTCGTTAAAAAGTGCTTGGAACATATTGACATCTCGTGTTTTTTCTCAGACAGATTTTAGAATGAGTAAAATTGCGCACTTTGTCCATTTGAAGGGACGCTTTTTGTGTGCATAATTATGACTTTGTTGTCATAAAATGTGAACTTCATATGTCCAGACGACAGCTCGGCAAACATGGAAAAAGGACTTTGATGGAATCTCTCCGTCGCCTCACCGGAGGGCCTTGTACCGAAATAGAGTCGGACGGCGAGGAGATAATGAAACGGGCCACCAAGAATAATAGAGGGAATAATAGAGATTCTATTTGAATCAAAGCAGAGACGCATTAGCTCGGAAACTCGGGGGTGGGGGGGGGAGAAAAAGAAAAACGCTTCAAGCTTTGGCCGGGCAGATTTCAAAAGCTCGCTACTTCTTCTTTTGATCTTTGCACTGTGTTGTCCATCGTCCAACCTACGGGGCCATTTGCCCGCTGCGTCATCTCAAAATTGAATTAAACATGCAAAACACATCAAAAAGTGACAAGCATCGGTCATACATGTGCCAATCACGTCACCAGTGGCTTGCTGGAGGCTAGCAGCAGAAGCTAACACATCAGTCTACTCTTCCTAGCAAATAGCATGAAGGAGCACGCTAGAATCGCCCATCCCGGTACCTCAAAGCTCTTCCTCAGTCCCTTCTGTTTACTGCTGTCATATAAGCGCTGGCTCGCAAACTCGCCGCTCACTAACATATCATATGTCTTTACTGGGCGTACGTGTCTGACAAAAAACCTCTCACTAGCATGGAGCATGAGTTAGCAAAAAAACGACAGACTACACGGGTATCTCTGAAGTTCTGCCGGCATCCGGCGTGTGAATTTGGGGACTAAATGTGACAAGCAGGTGACAGGTGGTCTCCTGGGACCTAGCTCGACAAGCTAACACATATGTCGACGACTTTACCCAGTGCACCTCGCCGC